GCATTCCTGGGAAGCGTAGCAGCAATGACCCCGGTGGCGTTGGTTCTGCCGTGCAGTTGAGGTGGATTCCACACCAGGATTTTCCTCCTCAGCGTTGCAAGAGCAGTGAGCAATGTGAGCTACGGAAATTCCGCTAGTGCATGGGAGACAGCTCAGCAAAGGGCACAGCACTGGAAAACTCACCGAAATTCCCGAGGATGTTAAGAAACGCAGCTGAGCGTGGAAATCTGCTTTTCAGACATGGGGGATTCATAACGGGCACAGCTTTGGATACAGTTGAGATGAACGGCCAGATTTCTGCCTTTGACTTAGGAACAGGTTAATTTGGATTATTAATCTGACACTTTAAACCACACAAAATGTAAAAGGATTTACCCAATTTATTTCTTATATAAACCTCATAGGTTGACTCCTAAGGTGTCCTAATAGTGGGAGGCCAGCCGTAACCAATACACCCCGTTACGTCCCTCCGTTCTGCCGCTGCCCGTGCTGGGCTGGTCTCGGGCTGAGGCTCCTGCAGCCGCTGGGCTCCTTCAGGGCAGCCCCACCGAAGCGGCCCGAGAGGGCACTTGGCAGGGCCGCGACTGCGCCGTGCAGACGGGCAGGATTTTATGTACGAAGTAAATAAAACCAGTGAGAAATGCTCTTTGCCTTTTGCTAAATTACCATCCCTTCTTGGTATTTTTCAACCGTTCCTGCTGTCACTACAGTGCTTTTTATCCTTCAAACTGAACAGCCGTAAACATTTTCCAGTGGCTCTTCTTCTGCCACACTAATAATGTAGTGTTATTACTCGGTAACTGAAACTCGTCCCTGGCCATTAAATTTCTAACTAAGCTTTGATCTCTCTTTCTGCAAAATCAGAAGCGGCTCACTGAGACAGAAGATAGTATTTTTAAATAATTATAATTTACTTATAATAATAATTTACTTTATTTCTAATTTCACATATGGTCTAAAATGATGATCCATATTTTTGATACACTTTTTAATTCAATGAAATTTCTGTAGGACATAATTATATTTTTGTAACTGGAAGGACAGTGTACTGGTATTTTAAAATAATATATTTTACACAAAACAAGCAATGCTTGTATCACTGACTACTCCACAAGAAACTAAAAGGTGAAAATATTATAGTAAGTAACTGGTATCCTTATTTTTTTATACTGTAAGCTTCGTTAAAGAAGTGGGTCTGTAGTTCAAATCTGTACTGCTATACAAGTATTATTACTTTATACTGGGGTAATTTGTCTTTTGTTGTACATAGAAGGACTAATATAAACATAAGTATTTATAGTCAGAATCGATCTCTACGGCATGCCTGTTTTGGAAGGGTATAAGCCTATGCTGACATACGCAACGCTGGAAGGAAATGACTACCATATAATTGCAATATCTCGTAAAATGTGGTATTCTAAGGAGAAATGATGTTTTTCTGTAAATGGCTCTATTCTGTACGTACAGGATTCTGTAGAGTAAGACAATAAAACCAGCTGAGTATCCGTGAAGAATTTCTGTTGCTGTACATTTCTGCAAAATACGTTAATCCAAAAATTGGGAATATCAACCTACATAAGGTAAAGAATAATAAAATAAATGTTTACAGGGGAAGTAAATGGTCATACAGGTTTTCTTGACTAGAAGTGGATGGTTTAGAACATTTTTATTTGTAAATATTTTCTACCTGTTCAACAGAAGTTGGATTAAGTTCTCACCTTGTTGGCATAATTTTTTTTTTCATTTGCTGTGCTATGTGTGTACAGGTGGCTTGATTTAATGTAAGCAAGTAAAAACTGCTTTTGGTCATAAATCAGTTGTGGAAGACTGCAGCCTGTTGAGGATCTGTAAACAAATATTTACACTGACTAATGGTATTCTGTAAAACAGTCAATTGCGTGAAAACATAGGGAGAGCTACCCTTTGAATAGCGCTGAGCTCCGTTCAGTTTAGCAGAGCCAGATTTTGACACCTTCGCTCTTCCAGGCTTTTTCTTTGGCAAAAGTATATTCTATAAATGTTCACAATTTATAGGATTTTCATGTTTAAAATTATTTGTTTGAAATAAATTCTGCATTCAAATGAAAAAATGTATTGGTACTGTATTTATTTTTCACTTACTGCGAATGCCATAGACAGTTTATTTGAGAAAAAAAAAAAGCCGGCCTCTCAGTAGTGTTGCCAGGGTGCAGATGGCCAATGATGGCACGGATTTAAAACAGGGCCCCCTCCTGCAGGGGAAGGCTGTGCCGCCTTCTCCTTCCCGGCCAGCTGATGAGTCTCTAGCACGCAAAGTTCTCCAGCAGCAGCAGTATCTTCACAGTAGACGTTAACCCCTTAGCGAGCCGTATGCCTACCGCTTGCCTTGAGGAGCCGATACTCCGTGTAGGGGCCAAGGGTAACATCTGATGAGTAGTTTTACAAGGTGATGAGCTCCGCGTGAAAATCGCTGCAGCTGGAATCGGGCCTGAGTGGAGCCTGGCTACCACGTGCAGTGTGACAGGGTGTGAGACTCGCCACAGTCTTTCAGCCTTAATTACTACAGCCAGTATACGTGGTACCCGAGTTCAGTGACGCAGTCCCTCAGCCTGGTTTCAGAAGGAAACATGGTTTATGAGCTAAGGTGGTGTTTCTGTCTAGATCTCTGTCCACCCATTAGGTCACTCCTGTCCCCAGATGACCTTTGATCTTTCTAACATCTCAATGACATTTGAAAGAAGGGACAGAAATCTCATGGTTTCATCACAAATTGGCTCAGGCTGGGAGGGACCTCAGGAGGTGCCGGCTCCAACCCCCTGCTCACAGCAGGCTGGCTCCAAGGTCAGGCCAGGCTGCTCAGGGCTTCATCCAGTTGGGGCTTGAAAATCTCTGAGGATGGAGACAGGACAGCCTCTGTGGCCAGCCTGTGCCTGACGGTCCTCATGGTGGAAATGTGTTCCAGGCTGAGCCTCTCTTCTTTCAACTTATGCCAGTTGTCTCTCGTCCTTCCACCCTGCACCATCTCCTCAATGATCTCCCCAGGGGCACTGGGGGCTTCTGTAAGGTCCATCTGCTCCCCGAAGCCATCTCTGCTCCAGGCTGAACAAGCCCAGCTCCCCCAGCCGCTCCTCACAGGGCAGGTGCTCCAGCCCCACCACCTCAGTGGCCTCCCCTTAATTTGATCCAGTTTATTGATGTCTTGTATTGGGGAGCCCAAAGCTGGATGCAGTATCTGGATGTGGTCTGACAAGTACTGAATGGAGGGGGTAATGACTCCCCCCAGCCTCTGGCTCTGCCCCTGTTCACACAGCCCAGGCTGCCATTGGCCATCGTTGCTGCCAGGTCTCCCTGATGGCCCATGTCCCCTTCACTGTCCACTGGGACCCCCTAGGCCGTTCCCTCAGAGCTGCTCCCGGCAGCGGGTCCCAGCCCGGACCAGCACAGGGCTGGCCCCTTCCCAGGGGCAGGGCCCCAAGAGCGCCAACAGGCCCTGACCCACCCTCCGCGGGGCTCCCCCCACCCTGCCCATGGCCCAGGACACCACTTCAGCCAGCCTGGAGCCATCAGTCCCTGCCCCTGCGATGCTGCAGGACGTTGGTCTTCATCTCCCCACAGCCCTGCCTGGCCACCATGGGCCTCCCTGAGCCCAGCCCCACCTGCAGCCCGCCCTCGCTGCTCCCTGGCACCCAACTGCAGGACTTTTTGTTGAATTTCATGGCCCATTCCTCCACCCTAACCAGTCCCTCAGGATGGCAGCCCTGCCCTCAAGCACGCCGACTAGGCCCCTGTTTTGGTATCATCTGCAAACCCAGTGATGGGTCTCCATCGCCTTATCCCAGGCCAGGTCCCTGCAGTTGGCCTCTTGTTACCAGCTGCCAGGTCGAGACAACCCATTACCAGCCCTCTCTAAGCCCAACCAGCCATCCTGATGGTTTTTTACCCATCTGGTTGCTCCCCATCCAGACCATAACACCCTAATTTGGATACAAGAACGCTGTGGGAGACAGCGACGTCTGTGCTAAGTTCATGGTAAATGACAGTCCCTGCTCTCCCTTCATCTGCAGAGCCGGTTCATCGCTGAAGGTGACTGGGCCACAGGCATGGTCGGCCCTTGGTCAATCCACGCTGACTGCTCCCACTCGCCGCCTTCTCCACTGTGCTCCCAGCTGGTGCAGAGGGAGAGGAACGCCGCCCTCGCCGATCCCTGCGCTGCGAGCAGCAGCCGGGGAGGTACTGCCGGGCCAAGAAGCACACGCGTCGCTCCAGATTAACACTATGCGTGTTTTCTCTTGCCTGTCGGGAGCACACAGACGGTATGTCGGTGGAGATCCCTGGTTAGCTGAGGTGAGCGAGTTTAGGAGACCAAAGACAAAAGCAAGGAGGAAACCAGACTTGATAATCCCACTTTCAAGGAAGCTGT